TAGATTAATAGTTAGACGGATAGATAGATGGATAGAACGATAGATGCATAGATGGATTAATTGAAAAAAAAGGCTGATTGATTGATTGAAATATATAAAAGAATGGAGGGAAGAAGAAACAGAATGAAAGTCAAAGAGTAAGAGGAAGGATAGATAGTCAGTAATAGAGAAAAAAATATATAGATGGATAAAAAATAGATAAACAGTCAGAAAGATAGAGAGAAAGAAAGAAGGCGGAAAAGAAGCAAATGTAGCCAGATATGTAGATTGATAGTTAGACAGATAAAAAGATGGATTGAATCAATTTCACGATTAATTGATTGAAAAATAGAAGAAAATAAAGAAAGATAGCCAGATGGCTAGATTTATAGCTAGAATTTTGAAGGAATAGAACTAAAGTTAGATGTATAAATGGATAGATTTATAGATTAATTGATTCAAAGAACAGAGGAGGAAAGGTAGGCTGAAAGTCAAATAAGGATGAAACTAAACAAAGCAAGAATGAAGTATAGATAGCCAGCTAGCTATATGCTTCACTAGTTAGGTAGATGGATAGGCACATATATAGAATGATAGATGGATAGATGGATAATTAAATTGATTAAAAGGTGGAGAGAAAGAAAGTATAAAACAATGAAGGATAGAATGAAATGAGACAAGAAAGATGGATAAGTAGTTTATGCTATAATCAGACGGATGGGTAGATAGACTGGTATATGTATATACGTATATATACATCGATAGAAATACGGACGGACAGGCAGAAAGAGAGATAGGGAGAAAGATAAAATGATTGATTTCCGGATAGAGAGAAGGGAAGCAGTGTTGAAAGAAAGTATGAATAGAAGAAAGCAAAGGGGTCAGAAAGTAATATCGATAGATAGACGGATGGATACGTTGATTGGTTGTTTAATGAAGTTGACGCATAGAGTTCTAATTATTTTGTAATGGCGTCTATTAGGGTCAAAGTGGGTGAGGTGATGATCACCTCTTTCAGCGCATTAGGTCCTGCGTTGGGATTTCCACGAAATGACCTCTCATGTCATGCGGCAA